CCAAGCCCTCCCACAGAAGAGCCATTTCCACCCAAGGAGGATTCCTCAGTGGGTGACAAAGTATTGGCTAAGACTAAAAACCTACCACAAACTCCTAGTGACTTTTCCTCTCCTTTTCCCAACAATGAAATGCATTGAACTCTTGGGAAAGCAAAGGAGGCAGCCAGGAGAAGAGGGGACACAAGGGGTTAAGCTGGTTTCTGGCTGCCAGGCCCATAGACGCAATGTCCCACATCAGCAGTGCTTGTAGACCTCTCGTGCACGCTCCAGGGCGGCCTGGAGGACCAGGACACGCTTAACGGTGCTTCCAACAACCTGACCTGGAGCTCTGAGCAGCTCTGTGAGCACTGCCRGCCTGGGGAGAGTGGTTGATATCTCAAGAGGTCCAATATGCGCCAATGCTACAAGGACACTCCAACATTGGCACTGGTGAGGCCACTGGTGTGTCCAGTTTGGGACTCCTCAGTGCCAGTGACCACCTGGATCAAGGCCAGCGCAGCCCCAAGGTGGTCAGGGATGGAGCCCAGGAGCCAGGAGAAGGCCAAGGAAGATCTTGTTGCTAGTGCAGAGGAGCTGGATTCATCTCAGAGGTATCTGGTCATGGAATGAGTAAAGACAGCACATGCTGGACCAGGGAAATTCCCATTAGACACTAGGAAAAAAAAAATTCTCCCTAGGAAGAGGAATTTCAGGAAAGAAGGAGCAGGAAAATCCCTCCAGGGTGGTCAAACCCTGGAATGGGGCCTGGAGAAGAGGGGAATCTCCATCTTTGGAGATATTCAAACCCCAGCAGCCTGCTCTAAGCTGCTATGATTTGAGCAGAGACCCCAGAGGTCCCTTCCAGCCTCAATTCCTTGGGCTTTCTGTTTGCTCCACAGAAAGCTGGGCCATGGGTCATTTCCTCCATCAGACGAGAAGACAAATTCCTCCTAAACCAACAGGCCCAGAGATCAACAAACTCATTGTCTATCAGGTCCTGGGGGTCCTTTGGTGACCCACTCACCCAGGTGCTCCCTTGGGATCCAAGGAAAAGATGTCAGCAACTGACTAGGCTTAGACTACCTTGGTCCTGCTGCTTTCATTTTGTTGGGATGGTCCTAGAAAGTGGAGAGGAACCCAAAAGCCTTCACGTGAGCTTGACCCGTGGTCCCTTCATGCCTGTCACATCACCCAGCTGGAGGCTGGAGCTGTTTCAGCAGCTGGATTTCGGAGCTGAGACTCCCCGGATGCCCCCAAAGCCACGTCCAGCCCCAAGATCTGGGCTGAGCCCCGGGGCCRCAGGAAGCAGCAGGGTGTTCAAGTCCAAAATAGCTTCTCCGTTGCGCAGGGCAGGGCGAACCTGGAGGCTCCGGGCGAGCGGGAGGGCTCCGTCCGGCTGCAGGAAGGTGGGTGACTCATTCCTGCAGCCTGCGACGTGATCCTGCCCGTCCTCTTGTAGCTGGATACGCGGCGAGCCGCTTCCCTCGCAGTCCTCCGGCAGAGCCCTCCTGGTTTGGCTCCGTGGGTGATTCGCTGGGAATAAATCATCATAAATCAGGATTTATGGGTCCTTGCTGCAGCTCCAAACACATCCCAACGCGTCACCCTATAACCAAGATGATAAAATGCTGGTGGAAGCTGATTTCCACGGCTGGAGACACCAGCCCAGGCTTTATCCAGGTTGCGGGAAGGGTCTTCCTCGCTGTCATGGGTCTTTTCCAACCAGGAGTTGGAAGTTGGGAGTCCTGGTCTGGCATTTCCACCAGCACCAGTTTTAATACACGCTACCAATCACTCCAGCTGCCACCCATTTCAGCAGGTGCTGTTATTCCCCCTTGTTTTTAGCCTGGAAAACCCACTCCTACCATTCCAGGAGTGGTGTAGCCAAAAAATAAGGTCTTTTTCCAGCAGTACCAGTTGGTGGAATGAGTGGCATTGCCTAACGGAGCTTATTTTGCAAATCTTGACTTCCCAACACCACTCAGCCACGGGCAAGAGGCAGATCTACAAGGAAACAGGCATTTTCCCTGGAGGAATTCGCTCCTGTTTGGCTAAGACTGGGAGATGGGATTTTCTTCCGGCATACCGAGGAGGTGGAGGGATCTCCGTGCGCCCCTCCAATGCTTTGGCTCCGCAGCCGAGGCCTGGGATGCTCCGTCTTCATCCYTGGGACGTGCTCCTTTAAAAGCAGGGAGTGGTGGGAGAGCTATTTTAAAGACAGTGGCCGGGGTCCAAATCTGACCGGCCAGCAGGCCCTAGATAAGGATATTGGCCCGGTGACAAGGATGCGATTCGGGAGGGAGCCTGGGATGTTTCTCCCTCCTGGGCGGGAGCAGATCCAAGCCCGATCCCATCTGGCCTTCGCCAGGGCTGGGACAGATGCTCCGAAACCGGAAGCTGCTGCAAATCCGGCAGGAAGGCACCTGCTCAARGCTTAGGGAAATGCCCATCCGTGATGGAGCATTGAGCTCCATCGCTCTTCCCGGGATCCCTCCGGCCTGGGGGGTCGGAAGGAGCTGGCGCAGCCCCCGGACCCAGCAGCGACCTCAGTTCGGAGGAGCCACGTGAGGAGGCGAGAAAATCCCTCCGAATAAGAGGGAAAAGCAGCATCCCATCCCAGCGGCTCTCCCCGAGGAGCCAGCAGCTATTTTGGAGCGGGACGGGAAGGAAGTGGATTCAAAAGCCCCTTACTGGGAGCCGCTGTTTTTTTGGAAAGCGCGAGGCCGGGAGGGTGGGAGGCCGCGCAGCTCCCGGCACTGCCGCAGCCAAGAGCAGGAAAAGGGGGCTGCAAAGCGGCTTTTCCTGGTGCCAGCAGAGACTGCACCGATTCTGCAAATATAAAAAGGAGCTTTTTTCACAGCTGCCCTCCCCCCAGCTCCGAGCTCTATTTTGGGCCCTACTCATTGCTCTGAGCCGCTATTTTTAGGGGGATTCAGTTTCAGAAGGGAGGCGAGAGCGGCGGGTGCTCCCCACCACCAGTGAGCACCCCTTGGGAAGCATCCCCCTCATCCCGTTGGATTCTCCTCTCCTGCCTTGGGAAGGCAGCTCCGGGATTTCAGGAGCAGCTCCGGGATTTCAGGAGCGGCTTGAGGGGGCACCCGGGGCTCCCCGCGGCACCCGCAGGACACGTAGGCTCAACCAGTGGGTTAATTTTATCCCCGCGGTCCGGGTTTATTTAAGGCTTTGGCGAAGCCGAGTCCCCGGGGCCACAACGGGCGCCTTGTGCCGCGCCAGGAGCGGGATCCGCCGGCACCTCTTGGCAGCCAGGCCACGATTTATGGAGCTGGCAGGAAAAGCTGGGAGCTCCTGTGGGCAGCAGGGGTGAAAATCAAACACCCCCCTGCAACTGCTGCTAAAAAATAAAATAAAATAAAATAAAATAAAATAAAATAAAATAAAATAAAATAAAATAAAATAAAATAAAATAAAATAAAATAAAATAAAATAAAATAAAATAAAATAAAATAAAATAAAATAAAATAAAATAAAATAAAAATGCTAAAGCACAGCGCAAAGCCATGGCAAAGTGCTCCTGTATCTATCCCAGGTGATGGAGTATCCCAGGATGGATCCGAAAAAGCAGCCTGCAGCCCCAAACTCCTGGGACCTCTCTAGGATGAACAGGATCCCCAGTGCCAGGCAATGGGATGTGGTACCCACATTGCCCCATGTGGATGCACCGATCCTGCATCCCCGGAGTGCTCCCAGCTTCCCATTTGCCAATCCTGGGTGGGATTTGTTCCTCCTTGCAAGATGCTAGGGGAAATGTTTTTCCGGAGTGTCTTAGAAGCCTGTGTCACTGCCAAGGGCTGGGAAAAATGGAGAATTGGAGCCACGAGGGGCTGGTTTCCAGTTGTGCCCCCAGGCCAGGCAGCTCTGCCTGGGCAAATCCCTCCTTTCTCTCCTGCTAAATTCAAAAGCTCTCGGATCATGTGGCTGGAGATGCTTTGGAGCCACCTGAGATGGCGAATGCCAGTTTGAGGKTTGCCAATATACCTGGATCCAGCAGTCCTGGAAAGACCAAGCTGGATTAAGTCAGACTCAGGAAACTCACCGTGTTACCAGTTCGTTTCCTCACATGATGCCTTTAATTAGCAGCTAATGAACCCAGGTGTTGGGCCGACTTCCCAAGCCCTCAGGTCCAGACGCTCTGGACCTCAGTTGAGGAGCTCGGCCCCCGGGATGCCCCGGCCTCYGGCCGCGCTGCCTCCCTTATCGGCCCAAATAGCTGCGGCCTCACGTGTTGTTTTCCCTCCTCAAATAAATGACATCAGGAGAAGGAAACAGAGCCTTTCTGGGCTGGGGCAGAGCTCCAGCATCAGCTCCGGCTGCTGGCGCTGCTCCCTCTGCTCTCTCCCAAGCTCTCTTCCCCCCAAACTGAAGGGTTTCCCCCCAAACTGAAGAGTTTTCCCCAAACTGAAGGGTATTCAGATGGTATGGCCACGGGGAGCGGATTTGGGGGGATGAGGAGGGGGTCAGGTCACGATTCCAGCCCTGATCCTGTGTCGTGAATCTGGCTCTGATCCCATCACCAATCCCGATAGGGCGGTAGGATCCGGATCCCATCCCAATCCAGATCCTGAGGGAGGGTCGAGTCTTGATCACATCCCTGATCCCGATTCCGATGGGGCCAGGGCAGTCAGAGCCCAATCCCAGCCCCGATCCTGGCCTCGACGGGGCGGTCGGGTCCCGACCCCAGCCCCAATCCCAGTCCGGAGCTGGGACCGGGCCTCGTTCCGGCCTCCGAGGAAGGGGCCGCTCGCCGTCCCCGCAGGGCTCCGCTCCGAGGCGAGCCCCGAGGGGGCGGTCCGGCCGCACGGCCGGCCCCGGCCCGGCCTCGACCCGCCTCCCGGCTCACACGCGCCGCGGAGGCGACACCGGGGCGGCCGCGGAGCGCGGCGGGACCGGCACCGGCACCGGAGCCGGCCCAGCGAGGGGGCCCGAGCCCGGACATGGAGCTGCCGCCGGCCGCCTGAGCGAGGCAGCGCCGTCGGTTCGGCTCGGCTCGGCTCAGCTCGGCACCGCACGAGTCCACTCGGTTCGGCTTGACTCGGCTCGGCTTGGTTCGGCCCGACACGGCTCGCCTGGGATCGGCTCGGTTTGGATCGGCGCGACTCGGCTCGGTGAGCAGGGAGCGAGTGAGCGGGGTCCCGGCCACGGTCCCGATCCCAATCCTGGTCCCGGTCCCCATCCCCTCGGGCACGGAGAGGGGAGTGCGAGACACACACGTGTGTGATAGTGGGGTTCACAGGTGACACGTGCCAGGCTCGAGTGTGCCATGGGCTGGGAATGTGGAACACACAGTGGGAGCGTGCAGGGACAGGAGCGCGRGACGAAGCGCGCGGCACCTGCGCCCACTGCCCACACAGAGCCCGTTCGAGGTGTGAAGCCAGAGCCAGCTCCACTGCCCCTAAACAACCTGCCAAAAAATGGGACATCCCCCCCCAAAATAACATGCTCGCTCCCAGCCAGCTTCCCTCCCRGCTGCTCCCTGGAGATTCCTGGCACGCACCTCCAACCAGGGCGGCAGCTCGCTTGGCGTTTGCAGGCTGTGCGCTCGGCTTGGCACCCAAAAGCGAGACCCCCCCCACCCATTACCARAGCATTTCCCTCCTTTCCTTGGCTCCGAGCCCCGGCAAAGGGCCGTTTTCCTCAGGGTGGCATTTCCGCTGCCGGGGGAAGAGTCGCCCCTCGCGCCCTCTGCTCCGAGTTGCTTATCAGGCCCTTGCGAAARGGCCTTCGGTGAGTGCCGAGTTCCCTTCCTCCTCTGCGGGTGTGTGGATAAATCCTCCTCCTCCTCCTCTTCCTCCAGCCCCACGAGCCAGGAGCCCATTGCAATTTTTGCTTCCCTGCCATTTTGGGGATCAGTTCGGCACTCAGTGCTGCAGATTTGGGGTGAGATGGCAGGATTTGGGATTCTGGCTGTCTCCGAATGAGAAAGCTGAGCAGGGAGACGGCTTCGGGCTGCTGTGTACATCAGATGTGAGGAGYTGAGGGGGTCCGCAGGAGGAGCACRGAGGAATTCCTGGMAAAAAAAGTCATTTGGGAGCAAGGGCAGCRTTTCGCTGGAGCACAGACCACAGGCTGAGAGAGGGATGGGGTTTGCAGGTTATTCTGTCTTTCCTTGAAGCTCCCCTTTCCAGTGTAGCTCAGCTTTAAAGCCAAACTCTCTAGAAACGCTTTTCATGGAGAGAAATAAAAATATTGCAGCTGTTTGCGTCTTTCCTGGTATATTAGGCAGGAAGTTGTTTCTGTGCATTAGACACAAATTCATCCCTAGCAGAAGGGAAAACCGAGGCACGGGGGGCCAAGGGTAGCGGCTGGGACAAGGAGGTGACGCARCCGGTGTCTGTGGGGTTGGAAGCTACCTACTGTCCTCCAGCAGCTTTGAACAGCACAACCCCCCCCACCCCAGAGCAGCAGAATTGCTAGAAAAAGGGGCAGAAAAAGAGGATTATATCCCTCAACTCGGTGATTCGATGCACAGCCCCATCCTACAGCCGGCAGCCCCCTCCTTTCCTTGTTTATGCATCCAAATATCCTCGTGCGGATACTGTTGCAGGAGTATTTTGGGACACCAGCACGGCCATGGGGGGGAACACAGACACATGGCACTCACCATGGAGGCAGCCGGGTACACAGCCCAGCCCCTGATCCAAGGGTTTCATGGGGTTTTGGTGGCTCTTCCACATCAATTTCCCTAAAAACTGTCCTGAAAAGTCTCCCCTGGACATGGACATGCCCCAACTCAAGGCAGGGGGGACATAGGGACTCCCTGCGTGTGAGTCTGAGGTTTCTGGAGTACCATGGACCTTCCATGGAGCCGTTTTCAACCTCTCTTGGCTGGCCTGCTTCTCCATGGTGGCCTGTTCAAGATGTTTCATCTACTGCCAGGTTTGTGGGGAACCCTTGTGTCTTTGGCTCCCGAWTTGCAGAGCTTAGAGCGAAGAAAAAAAAGTCAGAGAAATAACAGCCAAAAAAGAAGCATTTTCATGTTTCCCCAAGCATTATTGGACATCTCAGGGGGAAAACACTGCTGGATGACAGTCAAGCAAAACATCTGCCAGAGTGGGAAGGACGGAGAAGGATGAGGCACAAGGCAAAGGGGAACCTGCTGGGCACGGGTGGTACGGGCTGCATCTCGGTTCCCTGTGCAGAGCAGTTTCTAAAGTGAGATGTGGCTTTTTGCAGATGTTGCAGATTGGGCAGGGCGGGAGCGTTCCTGGACCGCACGCGCCTTGGCCAACAACGCTTGTGGTCCCCTTCCCTACRGCGGCCAACGGGGCGAGTGAACGGAGGGAAACGTCATCCTTTGTGTGCCACATCCATGGTGGCTCCGTCTGACTCACCTCAAAGGCATCCCAAGGATTATGCAGTTGGGGTTGTCCCATGTGGCGATGGACACGCTTAGCTTGAGGACCATGACGCACATGATGGTTGGGTTCTGTTTCCTCTTCTTGGGCGTTTGGGTTCCTCTTCAACTCTCACCCAGCATTAGCTGCATAATTTTAATGAATTTGACCTTTTTCAGCTCAGGAGAAACTGCTGTGTATCACCCATGTGTCACTGGGTGCTTGCAATCAACTCTGTGTCAGGATGGTGACAGCATCATTGGGCTGCCAGGGGARCTGCTGCGGGTCACTCGGAATCAAACCAGTTCGTTTTGCAAAAAAAAAAAAGGCAAATCCGTTTTGTTTTGCAGCTCGGCCGATGGACTCGCTAAGTGATCCTGCGTCAGTTTGATCGTGGGCTGTCCCTGGCGTACAAAAGGGCCCTTGTTCCTCCTGAAGGAGCACAATGCCAGACCATGCACGTCTCCAGTGACTCTTTGTAGCCTGATTTTTCGGCCTCAGACAGCTGTCCCACGTGTGAACGGGCCTTGTGCAAGCAGGGRTGGACTTTCTGGTGGGAGTGATGCTGGAGACCCAGTTCTCAAGGCTCAAGAGCAGGACCAGGCAGAGAGTCACCATCATCCCAACAAACTAACTCTTAGCAAACTAACTCTTCCCTCCTAAATCCAGACAGGATGACCAAAGCGTGTAGGTGGTGGACACACTTTCTTCAACAAGGTTTTATTACAGGGGTCTCCAGATGCTGTGGTGATGTGGGTCCTCCCAGGAGGCCCTGGAGGACCTTGGAAATCACAGCTGTGCCAGTCACAGGACTGCTTTCTGAAGAGTATGGTTCCCTTTTCTGCCCTTTCTGCCTGTGGTTTTGTAGGATGCACATTTCACAGTGCTCAGCTGTGTCTCTGCTCATGGATGATTGACCACAGAACAGGGCGTACTTCCCGTTCTGTAGCTGGAAAGACCAGATTTGCTCATGCCAGGAAAGGTGGTGTGGGGCACTGAGCTAGGCTGCAGAAAGTAGAAGTTTGGCACCCAGAAACAGCCTGGATTTCTTGGTAGCTTGAGACCAGTTTGGCTCCTTCTCTGGGCTGCAGATGTGTCTGATACAGTATTAGTCCAACCCATGAGGGGCTACATTGCTTGTGTAGACGTCCAACGCAATGATGCCCTGAGCTCAATGGGAACACAGTGTCCTGGCATGCATGGCCACCACTGGAACCGTTGTYACATGCATTGTGATGGCTTTATGTGCCACCAAAGGAGCGATACCTACAGGGAGCTTTGGAAAAGACCTACCCATGCTCTGATGGCAGCATGCATAGGAGATGGGAAGTGTGCAAGTACTTCCCCTCTACACATACAGCACAGTACAATGCAAATATACAGTAGCGATGAAAATCCTTGCATCASTTTCCTCCTCTAATCCACCTCTTCCAGGAAATCCTCCCTGCGATGTCCTTACCGCCTCTTCCCTTTTCCCCCAGGGTGATGGAAAACTTCACAACTCCTCATGCCTGGAGCAGAACCGTCAACACCTCCTGGGTCACAAGCGGCACGAGAGACAACACATACAAGTGCCTATTTGATGAGGACTTCAAGTACGTCCTGCTGCCTGTCTCCTATGGCATCGTGTGCGTGGTGGGGCTCTTCCTCAACCTGCTGGCCCTCTATGCCTTCATCTTCAGGATCAAGACATGGAACGCCTCCACCACGTACATGTTCAACCTGGCCGTGTCCGACACGCTCTAYGTGGTCTCCCTGCCCCTCCTGGTGTACTACTATGCCATGGGGGACAACTGGCCCTTCAGCGYGGGCCTGTGTAAGATAGTCCGCTTCTTGTTCTACACCAACCTGTATTGCAGCATCCTCTTCCTCCTCTGCATCAGCATCCATCGATTCCTGGGCATCTGCTTCCCGCTGAAGTCCCTGCAGTGGGGGCACGTTCGCTATGCCCGGAGAGTATCGGTCATCGTGTGGGTGGTCACCGTGGTGTGCCAGTCGCCCGTGCTCTTCTTCGTCACCACCAGCATGAAGGGCAACAGTGTCACCTGCCACGACACGTCCAGGAAGGACCTCTTTGGCCAGTTTGTCATCTACAGTTCAGTGATGCTGGTGCTTCTCTTCTGCATCCCCTTCCTCATCATCATCGTGTGTTATTGCCTAATGGCTCGGAGGCTGCTGCAGCCCACACGCGGTATCTCCCGCAGGTCCCAATCCAAAAAGAAGTCAGTTAAGATGATAATCATCATCCTGGTGGTCTTCATCGTTTGCTTTCTTCCTTTTCACATCACTCGTACCTTGTATTACTCCTTCCGGAGCTGGGACTTAAGTTGTCAGACCCTCAATGCTATCAATTTAGCCTATAAGATCACCAGGCCCCTAGCTAGCACCAACAGTTGCTTGGATCCCATTTTATATTTCTTAGCAGGACAAAGATTTATGAAGTTTGCAGGCAACAAAAAGCCAGGGAAAACCCAAAATGAAACGGCCTTGGGAATCATGTCCAATACTCACCTGAAAACCAGCAGTGACACTGAAACAATATCCAAGGATGGGAAGTCTTAGCGCTTCTCCATCACGTTATGGTGAGTAGCTTGTTCCCAGTGGAAGAGTTTTTGCCATGTGTGAAGGGAGTTGATGATACCTGGGGTCTCCTGAGGCCATGTGGTCCATGTTCAATACACTGCTATGCAAGCAGCTGTTTTGAACGTTTTTTTTAAGGAAGAATTGCTGTGATTGTACCAAGGAACTCCATACCTGCATCTCTTCTGGCAAGCCTGCCCGTCAGTGAACACCAAATAGCACCTGCCCAACGGTGAACATTGGTGACCTCTGTGATGGTGGCAAAATGTGCTGGAGAATCATGCCCTGAACATTTAAATTTTCTAAACCAGAAGAATGCAAAAAGCCCCTGAAAACTGAAGAAATAGATTTGCCTTTCTCCAGTTTCCCTGGCACGCTGTTAGCAAATGTTTATCGGAARTCTTGTGCATCTTGGCAAGGGAAGAAGGGCTTTCGATTGATGAGGAATGTCAGCTGTGGTTTTAATGAACAGGTCAATAAAAATATCAAATGCAAATGCTGCCCACTGCAGGGAAGGAATAACTTTTCCTACATCTTTGACAGCCCTAAAGAGACGTTTCCCCAGCTTCTGCCTATGCCTGGACAGGTCAGGAAGGGATTTTGAGGACTCTTTCAAGGGCTGTTTTCCTGTTCAAGGGGCTGCTGATGGAGTGATACCCTCCAACCAATGGTGACTTGCTGGTATCATCATGTCCTCTGTAGCCTCTGCTATGAAGAAGTGCGATGGGGTAAATGTCCTACTCACCAGAGACCTGCTAGTGCTTTGCTACTCAACATCCACCTCTGAAAGGCTTTTAGCAATCCATAATGTYATCTCAGCTGCTGCCTTTAATAATCGTCTCCAGCTCATTAAAACTTCCGGGAGCTGAGCTCTTTATGCCTTGTTTTTAACTCTCTTGTGAATGATTCATATTTCCAGCAAAGGGGTCGTACCCTTGCTGACAGCATGGGCCTCCCCTTGGAAATTTGGCAGTGCTGAATGCCAAGCTTAGGAGCCGTAGTGTGAAATGTGGTGCTTAGGGAGCACCATGTCCACACCACGTCCACCCTCTGTGTGGTTTAACTCCTATTGGAGCATCATTGAGCAGGGAAGTGACCCTGTGCCTGTGTATAGTCCTAGACTTCTTCTCCAGCCTTTACTGTGGTGGCTCTCTTGGCCATGCTGATCCTTAAGAAATGGGAAAGGGGAGGAAAACTTCAAATAGTTTGCAAATGGCTTGTGTCTCCTTCACATGGAGATGCCCTCTGGGATGTTCTTTGGGATGGACAGCACCATCCGAGCAAAACCAGCCACTTTTGTTCTGATCTTTTCTGATCAGCTTTCTAGACATTGAGTTGACCTGCCTCATGCCAGTCCTGGCTGGATCTGGCCTTGCATCCCTCAATCAGTCAGGACAGTTCAAAGTAGGCTAGTGAAAATACCCACAGAACAATTCACTAGATGATCCGCTCGGTCTTTCTCCCTGTAATTGCTGGGTTTAAGAGCAGAGAGCCCAGGCACGTGGTTTCCTTGCCTGACCTTGCTGTTTACTCACCCCAAAATGGGAATTGTTTGTCCTGCAGAGCTGGACTAGTCCTATTTTGTGAACGCAGCCACGAGTCTATTTTAGGGGTAGACATTAGATACATTAGATACATTTGATCCTAGTTCAAAACCAATTGCTCAGACCGAAAAAGAGTTTTGTCCCTTTCCTCCTTCTTCTAAACATGAGTTTGTGGCTTGCTGGAGATAACGACGTGGCGCCACGTATCCAGCCACGTAGAGCCAGGGCGCCTAGGACCCCACAGAGATAACTGTGAGGTTCCTGTGGTCCTGCTCACTGGAGACGTGGTCCCTTGGAGGGCTCCTGGCCTGACCAAAATGGTCACCGCCACAGCAGGCCATGAGGGAATTGCCTCCATCTGCGCTCGACCCATCCATGAAGAGAAGCAGGACATTTGTAGGACAATTCACCTCAATGCCCATCTGAGGTGGGTACCTCTGTGGTCCTTGGGTCCACTCAGGCTCGTGTGGACTATTTGGGTTCAGAGCGACTGGAGAGGTACCATCTGGAAATTTATATATATACATATATATATTTTGTTATTGTTGGTAAATGCACTAACTTATACTAAAAAAGTAGGTTTTGTGACAACAATTGTATGTTTTTTATTTTTGTAATATGCAAACAGTTCAGATGTCTTACAGGAAATAAATTTATTTCAACTATTAGTGCTCTTGTGCCATCTCTGATGTGTGCAAAGAAGAGGGAAGAAGGTACAGGAGTAGGACTGCTCAGCACCACCTGCATCCAAGCTCAGCAGGCTTCATCTTTGAGTTGACTTCAGTTTGCCTTGTCCTCTTCTCCCTCTTTCTAGAAATGTCCATTCCCAGAAATGTCATTTTCCAGAAATGAGTCTGTGCTGGGTCCAAGGGCTCTTGAAGGCAGGAGACCCAAAAGAGGCCAACAGCAGTGGATGAGACTTTGATGTGGGGGAAGGTTGAGGGCAATCCCAGTGCTTCCCACAAAGCCTCAGGTCCCACAGCTGGCCAAAATGGATCTCAAAAGCCGTAGGCAGGTTTCACCTCCATCCCCAGTAGCTTCATGGAGTTCCTGGTGGTTGCTGCACACCAGACATGCACAGCATGGTCAAGGTGACCCAAAACACTCTGATTTGACCTTAGGCAGTTTGACAGAGGTCCAGGCAGCCTAGGAGATGCTTTGCCACCAAGTGAGGCAATGTCCCTTGTAGTCTAACTATGGGGTCAAACCTTAGGACAACTCAAMCACTGCATAATCTCTCCCAAATTCAGGTCTGGATCTTCACTCACCCCCGATGCTCACAGGGGATTGATGCCACCACCAGTTATGTGATCAGCCTGATAACTGGTCAGGCTGGGTGACCCGTGTCCCCATGCTTGGTGGACGCATTCCTTGACTGCTCCAGTTGAAGATCAGACACGGCTGTTAGATAAGCTGAGCAGTCCCCAGTCCCACCGTCTTTGTGTTTCATCCGAGGCCACCCGCAGCTCGGGCTGGAGGGAAATGATTCCTTCTCATCCCGATCAAAAGAAACCAAGAGGGGGAGGTTTCCACCATCTAACCACAATCCCCATGAAAAAGAATCTCTCTTTTCCTCTGTGATTTATCTGCCGCTTGCTCCCAGCCTTGGCTCCTGCTACGCCTTCCTCTGCCAAGGTAATGAGTCCTCCAGGACGCCGTCATTTTCACCTAGGAATTTATTATTATCGAGTCACCTTGAAATCTCCTTTGCGATAAACTCGAATTCCCTTCCATGGACACACTCTGTGGCGCTCGGCTCCGCGCCGCCCTGCCTGAGTCACTGCGGCCGAGGAGGAGAATTTAGCAAGAGCAAAAACCGCTGAGCGGAGACAAGGAGGTCGCGACGGCACTTCAGAGGAAAACCAGCAAACCCAGAAATCTGCCCTTTCCCAAGAGCTCCGTGTGCTGGAGCAGCGAGGGAAAGTGCCCGGGGTGAAGGGTTTCCTGCCGCCCCARCCTCAGAGCACAGGAGCACGACAGCCAAAGGCAGCTCAACCTTCATATTAGACACCGGAGAATCTAAGAATCTCCCCGACGTGGATCGGGTGACTTGCCATCAAAAAACACCGCAGCCCGATCAAGTGTCTGAAATGACCCGCACTGACCAACTGGCTTTGCGACCAGTTTATTTTAAGGTGTTTATAAATTGAATGCCGATATTTGCAGACTCCTTAGGAAATAAATGCCCAGGAAAATTCTCCTTTTCCCATAACAAGTTTTGGGGGKTTTGTTTTATGTTTTTAAATATCTCCTTTGTGATCAAAATGAAGTTTAATGTCACAATGCCTTCATGTTAAAATATCTGACAGCTTTTAAAATTCATAGAAAAGATTTATTTCTTTTAAATAGCAGAAGTGTATTTGAAAAAAAAAAAAGTTTTTTTTTCCTTTTGGCTCAGGGACAAATACTAGTAAATCTTCTGCAGGGCAAAGCCTCTAAAATGKGGGATCTTGAAGACAGGAGAAATAATACAACTAAGCTCCAAACTGTAGCCTGAAAAACGACGGGGGGGAAAAGTGTAATTTTAAATGAAAAAAAATCTGATTCACCCCAAATCTGTTCTTTCCTGCTGTATCTCTTCCCTTTACCACGCTGYCCACACTCCCAATGCAAAACTTAGAGCCATCCCAACAGGGACTAGTGAAATAAGGCTTAATCTGAGAAGGAACGGGAAAAAAAAAAAAAGAAGGGACGTTTCTCCATGAGAATCTGAACGCTGGAGCCAGAGCAATGACGAGCGGTCGACGCTCTGCAACCACGGCTGGAAGCAGGGGAAGAAGCCTCCGACATCTGTGTTTCCTTCCCTTTATTGCAATGATTGTCACCTCTCAGACCRTGCCAAATTTGTATATATATGTATATATTTTTTCTTTCATGACTGGTTGAAAGCCACTGAGATATGAAATAGTCTGTGGGTGTTTCTCCCCAAACACCAAAAACAGCTTTCCCCAAACAACATTCCCCAAAAAMGAGCTTCTCATGATGGTTCTCATTAGACGGCCCCTTAATGTGACATCCATCCACCCTGGATGGTGCCCACAACGGTTGGGTGCCACCATAAGTGCGACCCAGGTATCTGGTTGCCCACGGGGGGTCCTGAGCAGCTCAGACTTCCATGGTAGGCCCCAAAAAATAGTTTCTTGACATTTTGCTCCCCATCAGATCTCCAAGGTCAGGCACAGTGACCAGCACCACAAAACATCTGCCAAGAGCAGACAGTCCCTCTCCCTCTGCCACTGTTGTGTTTGGCCCAAGCTCCAGGAGGTTGAGGGTGACATCAGGAGGCCTCTTGTCCACCATGGGCCACCCCACAGTGGATGCAGCCCCAAGGAGGCCGAGATAAATTGGAATAAGTTGATCAAGCTCCAGAAAGTGTCTCCAGCCCTTTCCTCTGCTGTGAGTCTACCCAGGAGGGTGGTCTCATGGCAGTAACCCCGAAATTCCCAGTTGTTCCAATTTAATCCTTTTCTCTGGTGGTTCCTCGGTGCAATAGGGAATACTGTGGGTCTGGTACCAGGAGACTAGATTGAGAGTCAACCCGTTATTTCTAAATAAGATATTTCTGCAGATGTGGGTTGAACAGATTAAGTCCGGGAAGAAATGTTCCACTAAAARGAGGAACATAATCATGGAGATCAAGATCTGTGGCAGCTGCATCCAGGTTCATCCAACCAGCCCAGGTATTTTCTGAATCATCCCAGAAACCCAACCAGCTCCATGACCATCAATTCAGGAGATGCTACAAGAGCCTCATCCTGTATCTGGATGTCTCCGTCTCTGCCCTATCTTTGTATTCCCTGTCCTCAGGATGTCCCAGGGGTATCASCAGGTAGAGATGCCATCCTGGGACTCATTAGCAGGTGTCCATCTCAGTTACGGGAGGGATTTCCTTCTTTCTGCCTTCCAGGCCTGCTTTTTCTTACAGGACTTGGTCTACTTGAGCAGGTAACGCTGCTGCAGCAGAGTCCTCTGCTGGCAAAACGGGGACGTGGCAGCATGAGGCTGGAGCTGGTGGTGGGGAYGGCTGGGGCAGCCCAAAACCCAGGGCTGATGCCCAGTCCATTCCCAGCAGGTAGGATGGCCTGGGACACTGTACCCAGAAAGGAGCACTGGAGCCCTGGCACTTCATGTATTAACGTGCAAATGGTCATTTCTGCCCATTCAAATGCAAAACGCACCCCTCCTTCCTTGCCTTGAGCCCAAAGCAGCTCCAAGCACCACAGACTCATCCGCGAGTGAAGTTTGGCTGCTCATGTCTGCCTAGGGGACCTCAACCCTCTCCAAGCTGCTGCAGGACACAGAGTAGTCAAGTGCCACCAGCAAGGTTCATGTACCTGAACTAGGAGAAAACTGCACACCATAGCACCTGGGTCCAGCACACCAGGACCAGGCTAAGGGACAGGACCTCTAGACCCCAGATAAACATCACGGTGCCCCTAGAAGGACACTGTGATGCCACCTTGCTGTCCCTGTCCTTACYCTTCCCTTTCTCTTCCCTTGCTCGCTCTTGCTCTTCCTCCAGGCCATGCCTTGGCAGTCAGGGTCCTGGTTTTCATCCCCGCTTCCCAGGCCAGCCAAGAGGGACTTTCCAGGGGACAGAGATGTTTATGCTCCCTTTGAAGTTCTCCTTGCCAAAGCAGAGCAGCAGCATGGGCTCCCTCCCCATGGCTGTGGATTTTAAGGCCAAAAAGGGGACAGGCGTCATCTGTCTGCTCTTCATCCAGCCTCCCACCCACTGCTCCCAGCGCTGTCCCTGCCCACAGCATAAAGTCTCCAAGTATGTTTAGCTTTCTTTTTCTCCTCTTCTGGTCAGTCTATCCACTTTGTTCCCTCCTGAACCASCAGCCAGAAGTCCCCTGGCTTGGCCTGGTTTGATAGCTCAGTTTTCCAGGGCAAAGAGTGCTCTTCTGTTGGTGCCTGGAGAGTCAATCTTGGGGCAAGCAGGTCTGAAACCTGCTAGCCCTCATCAAAAAGCCTAGGTCCTCGAGCAGAAGTGGAAGTAAACATGTCATCTGGACGCCTGCATTGGGGAGATCTTGGTTACTTATTGACAACTTTTCATTTTCAACACCCACAGAGAGAAGGACCCTTTTAGGACGTTCCTCATTTCTGAGGAATGTTGATGTTCATGTTAAATCTAGGTGGTCTAACAGGAGGGCTGCACCTAGGGGTGCCTAGATTTGCAACTTCGAGAAGGTCCTTCTTCTTTGCTGCTCCTGCTGTCCTATCTATAAGACAACAGCAAATGCCATGAGGGGTGCATTGCACTGGCTTTCGTGGA